AACAGTTAAAAAATTAAAGGTTAATTTTTATTTTTAACCCAAATTTGTTATAAAAATATATTTATTGTATTTTTAACTTGTACCCTTAAGACATAAGTTTGACAAATCTATAACTAAAAAGAATTAGTTATTTAAATGATATAAGATTGTATAAAAAATAATATAAAAAATTATTCTTAAATAAATTTTTTTTCATCCAAGTGGACAAATCAAATGTCAAGTCCCTTGCCACGTAGGAGTAAGATGACCAATTTCGCCACATGAGGTAGTCCCCCAAACCGCAGTTAACGGCAATTAACAGCAGCTAAGTTGGGTATGAGAGTAAAGGCTAAATTGCTTCTATTGCAGAGTTCAGGGGCTTATGTGCTTCCATTAAAGTCTGGGGGCTTAATAGCGATTCTGGGGTTAGTTCAGGGGCTTAACTTATGGTTTTGCCTTTAATGATGGATGAAAGTTAAGACATTTTAAGGGTGTTTTATTACTTTTTAGGTTAAAACTCCATTTTGATCCCTTTACTTTAATAACAAAACTTTTTTTAGTCCTTTTACTCAAAAAAGCCATTTTTTAGTTCCTCTATTTGAGAAAGCCACTTTTTAATCCCTAAAGTTTATTATTCATCTTTTTTTAGTCCTTTGTTATCTTTTTACACAAACGCCACATTAAATAATGGAAATTCCAAGGTAAAAAGACCAAAAAGAGTTTTTTTTTTTTTTTTTAATTTTAAGTAAATGGGTTTTTTTAAAAGTAAATGAACTAAAAGAAGGCTTTTTTAAAGTAAAGAGACCAAAATGGGTTTTTTTTAAAGTAGAGGGACTAAAAATGGCTTTTTAGTCTTTTTTAGTCCCTCTATTTTACAATTTCTATAATTTAAGGTGTCATATGTGTAAAAAAATAACAAAGAGACTAAAAAGAGGTCGGATAATAAACTTTAAAGATAAAAAAGAGTTTTTTTAAGTAGAGAGATTAAAAAGAATTTTTTATTAAAATATAAGGACCAAAGTGAGGTTTTAACCTTTTAAATTTTTGGTGCAATTCATACCGAAAAAAGTCCAACTTATCTATTTATGGATTACATGCAAATTTGAAACTTGAATTCAAAGACATTTCAAGGCTCCCAACACTCCAGCAGGAAACAAACTTTCACAAGCTGTTGAACCA